GGTACTGTCACCTAAACAGGGATGAGGGACTGGAACAGAATTTAGATTGCATGATTGCAATCCAAGACAGGCACACACAAGATCTTTACTCTAGGGATTGAAACTCTTTTTTCGTGGGTGCTTCTGTGTGCTACAAAAGTGCTGACATACTAACTTAGCAGAGCATCCTCATGTCCTATTTTCTATGAAAGTAATTAGGGATTCTCAAACCACTCATCCCTAGGGGTGCTAAATTGCTCTGGTACATGGCTGAGCTATCTGATCATCTGGATTTAGCAGAGAGCATTAAAAAATAATGACCACTTCTATTAGAAATGAACGGGTGCTTGGGGAACTTTGTACTTGAGGTGATGCTCACACTGTATGATGCATCACCACAGGTGCACCTCCTCCATGAACACCAGGTTTTTCACTGTTGATTCTGGTGATGCCCCAGGCTTATTATGTAAGTGTGATATAAAGCTTACTGCTCCTGCCTTTCCCTCAGGATTCTCAAACCCATAAAAATTATTTCCATTATTGGAAGATGAATTCAGGGATTAAGTTCATTGCCAGTGTACCATTACCATTTTTTATTTATATGTGCCATCCACTAATTTTCAGGGGTGAGCCCCAGCACAACCTTTGTGTATTACTGAAAGGAGCTTGAGGCTCAAAACCTCTGTTACAAATGACAATCAGTTATTTTTACAATTCTGTATCAGTTTGGAAAGAAGCACTTGGTATATCATGTGCTCAAATATCAATTTGGAAAAGCCTTTCTCCCAGTCATGCTAAATGGCTCATTCTCTTGGTGCACTGTCCAGTTTATTCTTACTGTTGAAAGCATTAGGGAAGGCCTTATCCCTAAAGCTTGTAATCTATCACTCCTGGGGGTAAACATCATAAGTATTCCAAAATCCAGTGTAGGTGTTGAGACAAAAGGAGATAACGAAGAGAAGAAATTGCCAAAAAGAGCAAACCGATAATATTTCTATACAATCTAACAGCTTGCCAGAAGTAATAGTTTGGACTTCTGTTCTGTAGATTAGATGGAGACATACATAATCAACTATTTTATTCTAAATAAGCTCATTTCTTTCATTTAGAGCCCAAGAGGAAGAGGAATGACATGATATCTCCGTCCTTCACCTTGTAGTCCTCTGAATAATTAGTGATAATTCAGAAATAGCTCCAAGCCCTTATACCTGGTATACCTGTTGCAGGGGTGCAGTTGAAGTCTCACTCCTACTTGAAACATTTACAGGGAAATTATATTTATCAGCAAGAGCCTGAGGTTCCAACAAGCTGGCTGGAATTCACACTGACAACTGCAATGATAGAACAGCTCTTCTGCATGATGATTTGTCCTATATAGGGCAGAGGCTTGAAGGCATGAGCAAAGGTTGCTGTAACACCTTTCTAGGCATTCTGCTCTGCTAAAAATGAAACCTGTCAGTGTTCTTCTGCCTCTCGGTTTTTTTGGGGTTTTTTTTTGTAGATGCAGATGTGTAAAACTGATAGCCAATGTGAGCATTAAAGCTTACAGTACACTCTCAATGAAAGGCTTCTGAAGACTGAGAGTGTATGTGTGTAAGGGAGTAATGTAGCCCATTTCTTTCTTCTCACTCTTTATTCACCATCTAGCATCTTGAATTTTCTGTATTTTAAACTACAGTGGACTAAAGGAAATAGATGTGAAATCAGAACTCAGATCTGCAATTGGTTTTAAGATCTTGTCTGACCCTCTTTTCACTTCATATTTCCTGTCTGGGGCAATGCTATTACAGCATCTAGGTACATTTAAGAGCTGTTCTGTTTAAGTGCTATACAAACCTAGTATAAAAAATATTCACACCAAGCCCAAAGAGCTGAATTTCCAACTTCACGAAAGTACTTTGATATTTAAGTTACAATTTTTTTTTTCCAAATAAAGGTTTGAGAAGAAGAGACTGATTAAACCCAGCATTATGTTGGCAGGCAGGAAAGACAAAATGGGTTTTTTTTCATTTAAGTTAGGAGGAATATCAAGTGGCAAATGCTTTTTTTCTCCTACCCTAGCTATATGATAAAAATCAAAAAACAGTATTCTAAATTTTTAAAGTTTTAAAACAGTTTCCAAAACTTTGACTTTGGAATCAGATCAAAGTTATGAACATGGCAAAACAATCCCACCTAGAGTGCTCATGGGGTGTTATCTTCCAAAAGTATGGCTCATCTCCCTTTTCTGTTACAATCATTTCACTAAATATCTGACAATTACTTCTGACACTGAACTAGTGAGCGATTTTTTTTCTCTGTTGTCCCTCAAATAGAAGTTTCTCATGAAATGATGAGGAACATTTCAGAGTTGTGACAAAAATATTAATAACTCTGCTTTGTCCAGTTTAAAATATGTTTGACTATAGAGCACTTCAGCATATAAAGCAGGAACATAAGTGCTAGTGTCTGAGAACTCTTTAGCATGCACTGCTGAATATACAAATGCACACGTTTCAAAACCACACAGACCTGAAAATTTGCAATTGAGAAGCTAAAAAAGTTCAATAAAAAGACAGAAAAAATTTATTTATGTCTAATGGCAAAGTACCCTTTCTTTTACAAAGAAAGCAGTTCTTCTCTGTAGTTTAGAACTGATTAGGAAATGGATATGCAGAAAGCTCTCTATGGAATTAGAGAAATATGAATCTGTGCACTTCAATCTATTTTATACATGTTCTGCAAGACCTCAACAACTAGAGTTAATGCTCCCTCGGCTCTATTGAACTAATTAAGTAGGCTATTTTATTAATAACGGGTTGTCCTTCTGTCTGCATTTATGGCACTTAGCAAGTCAGTGTGAGTGTGAATGCTTACGTCATGAAGGAGAGAGCTCCTGACAATGAATTAGATTAATCCATCAAGAGAATTAATGTGACATGATTACTGTTGGTATCTGAAGAAGCTGGCATACACAAACAGGTATCTGCAGCTGTAGGAGGTAAGCAACAACACTGTAAACAACTGGGCAAGGCGCCGAGCCTGTACTATTGAGCAAAGAGGTGGCTGACACCAAGACCTGGTGACAGGCTGCTAATGTGGCATGTGGAAAGGGCGCCACAGGATCTGAATGTTGCTATCAATGATTAGATTAACTCAGCTGGGTTGGTATTTTACCACAAATAGTTCTAATGATGTCTGTCATGTAAAAATACCTAATCTAATTAGTTTTCACTTCTCTTCCTTTCTTAAGGGGCATGAAAGAGTGAACGTATTTGAAAATTAATTAGGAAAAACTCTGCAGTCATCACCCCAAAAGTATAAGGTCAACTGCACTTTGGGTATGGCTTTGCCAGTTTTCTTGTCAATTCTTTTTCCTCCTTCAGTTCACTTGCTCATAGAGTTCCATAGACAAAGTTCCTAATGGCTTGGAACCTTAGTTCCTTAAGCTGATGATACTTGGATGACAACAGTATGCAATGATTCTTCTCTGTCGTAAATATTAAAATATAACAAAAAGTTGATTGCTGGGATAGAGGAAAAGTTTTTAAAATCACTGAAGTGAAAATTTATGAAGAAAAAAAAGGTTCTGTTCTTGGCAGAGAGAAATACGCATATGAACTGATTTGTATTATGATCTGGTATGAAACAAGTTTAAAAAAAAAGTTTTTAAAGTGATCTTAATGCTGCCTCCTAGAAGTTGATGGGCAGTTCCAGAACTTGCTTTTTAAAGAAAGCAGCTTTAGAGATCTATCAACAGCACCCAGCATTCATCATTGACTGTGGCACAAGGGAAGAAATACTCTAGTCTCACGCCTACAAACCCTAATATACTAATTTTGTTTTTCTCATAAATAGAGGAAGGCATGAAGTGATTCAAGTCCCACAGAAGTGTTCTTTAGCCTTTCCATGTCCCCTCTGCCCTTCTAACCACTGAGGATCCAAAGACTAAGCTTGGTGAACTGCCAAGATCTGTAGGCAATGGAGAACGGAACAAATTGTTCATATGGTTTGTTAAACAAACAAAATGAAATGTCTATACAATTAAGCTGTTTGTTTAAAACAGGATATATTGAATTAATTCAAGACTTCATGGATAAAAATTTGTTTAGGTATTTATGCACAGTGTAACACTAATTTAGAGATGAAGTTACTGGAATGCTCTTAAGCTTCAAAGGCATGATTCATGGCACTCTCCTATGTGTCCTAACTACACATGGCAATATAGGTAGCCCTATAAAATAACCATAAAATATCTATATGGATGCATAATAGCAAATATATACTTCAGTATGTATGGTAAATCTTGAGTAAAATCTGACAACATAGGTATCACTGGGTGCAGCTTGCAAAGGTGTTATTTTATATATTATTCACTAAACTAAATAAAAGTATTACTAAACTAAATAAAACTATTCACTAAACTAAATAAAACTATTCACTAAACTAAATAAAATGATTACTTTGACTAATGAAGTCTATCGAACAAAGAGCTATTTTCATGAACAGTAGAACAAGAGGAAGAAAAATAAAATAAAATAATGTCCTGTGCAGGCTATCTTAAAACATTTTGGACTGATACTTCAAAATCAAATTTCCACAAATAAAGAGAAAAATTTTATTCATTGCGGCACTCTCTGCAAAATCAGAAGGTTAGAAGAAAGTAACAAAGCATAAAATAGGCATTTGAAAAATTATTTCGCTGGGAAAAACCACAATTTTTTCCACATTAAGATAACTTAAGAACACCCAAATTGATTTTTATTAGACTTCTCATATTCACTTCTGAGCTGACACATGCATAAGATATTCAGCCCCAAAGGTCACTTCTGAGAAGGCTATAAGTAACTGGAAACAGCACTGCAGGATGAAATGATGGCTCATTGCTGACAATTACCACTGGAGAGTGATAGATATTTTACTCCTGAGGCTGAGACAGATTCTGTAAATAAATATTTATTTCTTGGCAGTGCCAATAGCTGGAACACGATGTGATACAGCTTCTTTCCCGGTGTTATTAGTTGACTTAAAGAGAGTGTGGGATGGATGCTGGCAAGGCCCGTGGGCCTGTGTTGGAGCCCACCACAGAATTTTCTCCAGGGCCAGCAGAGAAGGGCACAGGGCGAGCCCTGGCTCCTGGCACCACATGGTAAGCGGCCAAGCTCAGTGCAGTGCTCTCCTCCTCCTGCTCGCTGCCCTGCCCCAGCTGCTCAGTGCTCTGCTAAAACCTCTGCTCGAACACCCAACACAAATGGGGCTGGTCAGCCGGGCTGTGAACACCTATTTCTTCCTCTTCAGGCTTTGGTCACTCCATGCTTTATTCTCTCCATCCCCTCTTCTTTTTGGTGCCAACATTAGACCCTGAGGTTGTTCATCCCAAAGAAGAGGTGGCCTGGGGGAGGTTGTAGCCAGGTAAGCGTCAGCCTCTTCTCCCAGGAAACCAAGACAGGTAGGAGAACACAGCCTCAGGCTGCGCCAGAGGAGGTTTAGGTTGGATGGGAGGAGGAATTTCTTCACAAAGGATCTGATTAGACCCTGGAATGGCCTGCCCAGGGAGGTGGTAAAGTCAGTATGTCTAGAGGTGTTCAAGAAATGGCTGGACATCGCATTTAATGCCATGATCTATTTGATTTGGTGTTTGATCAAGGGCGGACTATAATTCAGATGCCTTTTCCAACACAGTAATTGTGTGAAAACAAAACACGAGAGATCTCTGGTGAATTGTAGCTTTTCTCCAGAGCGAATCGCTGGCACTGCTGTCCATCCCGGACGGCGAGGAGGCGTTGACCAGCTGCCTGCAGCTCTCCGCGATGGGACCCCAGCCCCTTTCGCAGCTCCCCGCGATGGGACCCCAGCCCCTTCCGCAGCTCCCGTTCCCCGCGCCGAGCCCCGCCTCTCCCCGGGCCGTCACGGGCCTGGCGCAGGCGCAGCTTGGCTATGGCGGGAGCCGTGGAGCGGCGCCTCGCCCAGTACCGCGCCGCCCGCGGTAGCTCTGCCGCCGCTCCGCGCCCCGCCGAGCTGCCGGGAAAGGCCGCGGCTCCGGAGGCCGCCGAGGGACCGCGGGCAGCCGCGGAGGGCACGGGCGGCGGCGCTGAGGTGAGCGCCGGGGCGGGCGGGGTGGGGGGTGCGGCGGCCGGCCGGTGCTGACGCCGCGTCTCCCCGCCGCCTCCGCAGGTCCCGCCCGGCGCGCCGGCGGCTCCGGTGTGGGCGCGCCCGCTGCTGCTGAAGGTGCTGCTATGGGCTGTGCTGCTGGCGCTGTTTGCGGAGCTGGAGCTCGGGCTGCCCTACTTCGTGCTCTCCCTGCTCTACTGGATGTACGCCGGCACCCGCGGCCCCACCGACCGGCGGCCCGGCGAGCTTAGCGCCTACTCCATTTTCAACCCCGGCTGCGTCGCCATCGCCGGGACGCTGACGGCCGAGCAGCTGGAGCGGGAGCTGCACTACCGGCCCGCCGCGGGCAGGTAGCGCCGGGCCCGGCGGGGACTGCGCTGTGTCGGGCCGGGGCAGCAGCCGCGCCGGACCGGCCCCGCTGCCGCCGCCCCGAGGGGCTTGAGGGAATGAAAGGGGGTCAGTGCAAAAAAACCACCTGAGCCCCGTGTCCCACGGCGCCTGCCGGTCCCGAATAAAGCCGTAGCAAAACCTGCGCTCTGGTTTCGTTTCCTGGGGTCGGGCAGCTGTTTCGGCCCCTGTGGAATTGCCCCGAGAGGCACGGCCTTGTCACAGCTGCGGCTGCCACCATGTCACCTGGAGGGCTTCAGCTCCCGAGAGCTTTGCCTCAGGTGATAGACACAAAGGCTGGCGTTTGACGACATCTGCAGTAGAAGAGCATGCTGCTGCTCTTCCCTGCCCCAGCTGGAAATCTCATTCGGAAGAAACTACAAGAAGCAATAGTCATACACCTCAAATAGGCTGCTGCTTTGGTTTGCAGTGATGCCTTTCATCTAACAGAAACATCAGATTATAATTCCCTTTTTGCTTCATATTACAATTTTCATAATTGTAAACTGAAAAATACTCCTGCAGGGCAGGTGTATTTGTATGATCCACAGCTGTTTTTAATATGTAGATCATTGCATTGAGCCAGACCTGCTCAGCAAAGTGGTAGCCTCCACTGCTTACAGCATGGAAAAAACATGGGTGTGGCATTCGAGAACATGTTTTAGTGTGGTGATGCTACACAGACAGTTGGACTTGATGATCTGGAAGGTCTTTTCCAACCATAACAATTTTATGATTCATTAAGTCAACATTTTGAAGAGCAGCTACTAGAACTTGTGTCTCTGAGGAGAGAGTTAAGAAGTCACAAATTGGTCTTTCAAATTCTTGAATTGGTCATTCAAATGTCTTTTCTAATTTAACACATTGTTAAGCACCTTGTTAAGGCTTGACTCAACACAAGTTTGATCATTGGTTGTAGAAACGAAAGTGGTGCTTTGAATTTAACTGACTAGTAAGAGATAGATTAAAGCACATGTAATATGTTAACACTGATAAGCATCTCTCAGTAGCTCTCCGAAGCACTCTCACACTTTCTGTCTTGGGCTGTTGTATGAATTCCAAGTCCTGCTATTTGAAGGCAAAAACTTCTGTCATTTGCACATATTCTGTCATCCTCCAGTACCCCCCACCCCCCCGAGTTTTCATTATTCTTACTGATGCCTTTTGACTTTATAACATGCTGCATTTTGTATTTGATTAACATAGGCTCAGCAGGGTCAAACACCTTTAAAGGTAGTGGACACACAGTTGCACATATTGTTTCCTTGAAAGAACCACAGACTGTGAATCTTACCATTCTTAAAAAGTATTATAGTAACAGGGTAAGAAGTCGTTAGACGATACTCAAAACGCCTGTAAGCAATGGAATTTTGTGAGTTAAAACTTTATTCACAACAATAAAAATAGACATCAGCATCATGTTTATGGGGAAAATCTGACATCTTGTACTGCTCAGTTCTGTGGGTATTTTTTAAAACAAGGAAATACATGCAAATAAATATAAGGTAAGATCAATGAAATTATAAAAATTCATAGCAGCAATCCTGGAAATAAAGTTTTCACTTGCTATACACTCTAGCTGCATTATGTCCAGGTGGATGTATAGACTCTTGTATTTAATACTTCATGAAACAAGTTACCACAATAAGTGAGCATGAAGCCAAAAGGCACAAGAAATAAAAACTGACACAGTTCATCTCTTCCAGTGCTTTGTGTTGGTTTGCTTATTTCATGCTACTCAAATAAATGTACATTACACATTGTGAAATAGAGATGGCATGAATAACAAAGGCTTGCAAAAGGTTTTACTGAAGTAGATAAAGTATGATGGAGAAATTGGCATTGAGGCCTTGCTCAGTCTCCAAGTACACAAATACTGTAATTCTGCTTGGTGTTAATTACTTCCACCGAGTAGTTTTGAGAGGCGATTTTAAAAGGTTTGAACTAGTGAAAGCTTAATTACAGGGGGAAAATTTCCTCTGCAGCCTTCTGCTTGGCTAAGACCTCACTTTGTTACCTTACTTTTGTCTTCTCTTCTAACAAAGCAAAAGTCACCAAGATAAATTAGCTGGAGTTATTCCTGTGGGCCCAAAGCCCTCAGTTCACAAATGACTAGGAGGGACAAGAACAGCTTACTAACTCAAAAGCACATCAAGCTGTTGAATCTTGCTTGTGACAGCAACTAAGTACAGGTTTGTTACCACACATGGAAATGGTCTCTATTACCATGTCTGTCCTCTTTCATTTGTTGCACACACTTGTTTGGCCAGCACTGCAGTGAGTTAGAACACTTCTGTAACTTCCTGTTTTCATAGCAAAACTCTCATCTTGCCAACAGCTGCACAAGTAGCAGAAACCCTTTTTCCCAGGTTTGCACATAACTAAGCTGGACCAACATATACTCTTGAATATTAATGAGTGAAATTATTCTCACCAGTGTGCATTAAGCTACAGCTGTAAATTACATCTGTCACCTTGTCACCTACATGCTGCCTTTCTACCCGCCAGTGACAATCTTTAGTACTTTTCTCCTATTCTTAGCACAGGGTACACATTAGCTAGAAACATCAAGCATACTCTGTAAGCTAATTAATTAACTTGTAAGACAGCAGTTAACAACTGCATGTAGTAGACAAGTATTGTATTGATGATCACACAACACAGAAGCTAGTTATTAATATACAGAAGAACCTCAAGTGCTTCATTCCAAAGTCAGCTTTGCCACCGATGTTAGAGAGGCCTGGAAGCAGCCTGCAGAGAAGCCAGCGTGCTGAAGACACATAAGCCAGCCTGAGAACTGTGGTGGATTTCTGCAAATGTCTTTCTCCCTGGAGCTCAATTACAAGCATTAGAGCAGAAGGTGGTAACACATCCTCTTTAATTCAATTCAAACCTTACGACTGCAAAACTAATCCATGCTGTTGGCAATTAGGTTTCTAATACAATGATTAAATAATCCCATGCAAAGCAATCTAGCTTCAGGCACAAAAGATGCCGAGTTACATCCCAGAATATCCAGTCCACTTTCTTGGCAATACAGGCTGCGAATGCAAGTGCGAAGAGACTTGAAAATAGGGAGGGTTATTTTTGCTGAGTCTTTGTAACTGCTTTGCCACGGAAGCAATTTATTACAACAAATCTGTGAGCGGGGAGATTCTCAGAGCTCCTCTTTGGCACTTTGCCTCTGTTGTAAAGGGAGCCCAAGTAAGAGTAAAACTGTGCAAAGCTTGTTTATTTAAGTGATATAACCTATCACATCCTGCTTCTAAAGGTCCTTCTGCTTGTCTCCAGCAACTCTTGTCAACGTCAGGGACAAGACATTGTCACACACTGTGTGCTGTGTGACACTGTGTAGCGTCACACACTACACAGTGCAGATGCAGCCACTGCATGAGCCCTTGTTGTTTTAGACAGAAAAAAAGCTCATGGAGTTCAGGATTTTTTGTTTAGAGTTACTGGTTTTGGTTGGGGTTTTTTTTGGAATGCCACTGATGGGAAGCTGGCAGGCTCTGGAGGATAGCAGCCCACCATGGGAAGCTGTCCTTGGTCTTGAACCCACGCCCTCCACCAGGGTCACATCCCCCTCCATGCTCGAGGGTACCTTGTGTCACAGGAGAGAAGGATCAAGGCTGGAGGGGAAACAAAAGCGAGTACACACTGCCAACTACTAAATCTTTGCAATGAGGTCTGCTGAGACTAGCAGTGGCTGCAAGCTGACTTCTTTGTGTGTTTGCACCCACAGGAAGCAGAGTAAAGCTCAGACAGGAAAGGTTCTCTTGAAAGACAAGTCATCACCCCATCACTGTGAATACCTGTGTGCCCACCAGGTGGACAGCCTAGCACTGACAATGGAAAGGGCTGTGCATGCAGGACACATTTCCATCCATGTCAGCAGAGATAACATGCACCTATTTCTAGCAGAGAAGGTACCTAACAGATACTGCATTTTTGTTCTGTTTGGGTTTTTATACTTTTTTAAGTGAAGCTTGAAGATAGCATTCAGAAGTGTTTACTACACTACCTGCTGTATATTTATAGACCTTCAGGATGCTGTTCTTCACCTATCCAGAAAACAGATTAGCATATTTTCAACTTTAACTGTGGGAAACCCCTGTTACAAAACTGATTCTTCCCTGAAACACAAGTTGTAGACCACTAAATTATTTTTTCCTAAAAATGGTGATGGCACCTTACCCTCTCCCCAGGAAAGTCTAAATGTATTTTTTTGCAATAATCATATTCTATATCCTTGTAATTTAATCAGTCTATCACTCAGCTCACCCACTCAACAATAATAAGCCATTGACCCTGTGGTCTCAGACTGGATCAATGCAACGCTTAAGTTTTGGACCCCCAGAGGCCTTGTGTGCAAATAGGAAGAAATTCCTTTAACTTACTTTAGACATGACCAATTTTTCCTCTGATGTGTTGATTACATTAGCAGATTGCTTTCCCTAGAAACCTCTGTCCAACAGCCTGCAGGCGATGAGCCGCACATGCTTAAGTTTCTTGCTGGAGATGACAAACTTAAGCCACTTGCTTGGGTATTTTAAGTGTTTTCAGGTACATTATACAGTTCATTGTTCTCAGTCTGATTCACCTGCAGAAATCTCAGCTGAATGTGGCCTGACAAGTGGCAGCATAGACACTGCTGCCTACTGTGCCCCCACTGCTGATGCTGTTGGCCGGACACTTCAGAGGTTTCATACTGCTGTCTCTCTGGACATACAAGTGTTCCAATCTCCAGCGCTCCCAGCTTTTCCGAAACTCCATCTGAACCTAACAGAAGCAAAGAAGGAAACAACAGGAATGAATCAGCTCTTTAAATTACTCCATCAGAAAACAGCAAGGATACCACACTACTAAAAAAAAAAACTGGAACTGCTTTAAACCTGCAATATTATTGCTTCCAATATCCAATTATCTCATTAATCCATTTTAGGCTATTCCACATTTAAAATAATGATGACATTCATTTTTACTTGTAGAATAATAGCTCTTTTATGGACCAGAAAATCTTACCTTCATTATTTTGCTCTAAATTGTATTCACCTACAATACTGATTGAACTCTGTGCCCTACCATTACTAAAAATTAAGCTGACTTCGCTTCTGCTCAGTATTGTACCATAGGTATTCTTA